AAAATACAAGTGCAATTAAATGAAGTTTCACAAGCAATTGATTTATATCTTGATGCATATGAATATTATAGAAGTAGACCTTTTCCAGAAGATCCTGAATCTGAAGGCAGTTTTGGATACTCAGAATTTAATATCATGGCTGAATTATATATGCTTACAAATGATTTTAATAGTGCTATTGACTTTATAAAACGAGGTGTGCGTTGGTTGCAAGGAAGGGAGAATGAAACTTGGTGGGATACAGTTGCTGATGATCGAGAATATGAAGAAGATGAAAAAGCAGATAGAAGAGATACATCTATTTTATTTGCTCGATTTAATGGTATAGAGAACATTGGTGGTTCAAATGCTAAGCTGCCACTGGAATTAAGAGTCAAGTTAGGACAATGTAGAGTTGAATTAGAACAGCTTGAAGAAGCAAAAGCAAGTGATTTAACTTTACTATGATATTAAGGTGCAATAACATATAATTAATTATTTTTCTTTTTAATATATTACCGAAATAGTTACATTTTGCGTATCTCGACTTCCAGAAAGTTGAAAAATATGTTGACCTATATTATGAGGTCGCTGAGACTTATGCTGAAAAAGGATTATTTGAAGATGCATTAGCAATTTATGAAATTGTTATTTCGAATGAATCAGTAACTGTTAAATTATTATTTTAATCCGAGTAGTTAACCTAATTACAATATTAACATTATAATTTAACAAATTTAGACGGATAATGCAACTGCATGGCTTAGAATGGGGGCATGTCATCGAGAATTAGGGAATTTACAAAGTGCTGTAGATTTTTATAAAGCAGGTAAGGCAATTTAAAAATATATAAAAGTATACATATATATGTTTTACGTACTTTTTGTTAATAAATTATCAATTAAATGACAGCGGTGGAAGAATTACCAGATGATTTAGATGCAAAAATGGCTCTTGCTGAAGCGTACGAAGGTTTAGGCGAAAATGAAAAAGCTCTAGAAATGGTTAATCTAGGTATATATATAATATAGTAGTTGTAATCATGATATAATTGTATTGTAATTTGTCAAGTAATAACTATCTGGATTATTTTAAAGTTCTTGAATATCGCAAATCCAAAAGAGAATCAATTGAAACTATTAAACCGCCACAAATACCAATATCAACTCAAACTAGATCTACTTCCCTTGATATCTATGATATTCCCTCAACATTTCCACAAAATTTTGATTCATCTTTAATTCATGAATCATCAGAAGAAACCAAGGCCAACGCTTTCCAAAGAACGCAGGAAGAACGTAAAAGACAACAAGTTGAGAAAGAAAAGGAAACAAAGATTCAATTTCATAGGCTTGAATTATTATATGTTCGTTTAAAGGCTGGTGACAAAAAATCTGCAGAAGAGTTTCTAGAAACAGCCAGGCTTTTATTTGAGGATCTAAAAAAGCATAAACAATTCTTTCCCAGAGACAAGGCACTATTAAATTATATTTTTAAAGTTTATAAATAATAGTGTATGCATTATTAATTATTCGGAATTATTAGATGATTCCATATAAAGGTTTTGACCGTCGTAGATGTTGGAGAAGACAAATGGCATTAAGGGCAGAAGCTGCCGAGGAGGACGATGCAGCCCTTGAAGAACAAGCAACCACTATGGCTAAGCGGTTACAATGGCAAATTGGTTAGAATTATTTAATTTACGGTGTTTTTTTTACTTTTAAATTGTTAATAATAATTTCTGTGTGTAGATGGTGAAATTGGAGAATTGGAAGCCGAAATACATAAAAAAATGACTGAATTCCAAGGTCTAACATTTTCGCAGTGGTATGATCTTTTCATTAGGGTAAGTTATCATTAACAAGATAACAAGGTAAACTTTGATATAATTGGTGGTTTGGTTCAATAGTGTAAATTCAAGTTCTTTATCGACCAATTTTTTACAATTGTATTAATTTTAAATTTTATATTTATACGAATCCTAACAGTATATATTTATCGCCACTACATATGGCTATGAACAAGAAGCTTTTGATGTTCTCCGGACCGTTTCTAGAGCCAATGTTTTTTATCATAATGATAAATATAAAACTGGGTTTAAGCTATTATTGTTAGGTAGATATTGAATGTTTTCAATAGTTCTATATATTCTAGTGTTTAGAGCGGAACCCAATTTTGCAGATCATTTGTAATCAGATTTGGTTGAAAAAAAATCAAAATTTTACGGAGCGAAACATTTCGGATTTTGAAAATAGTTTTGTCCAAATTAATATATTTATTATATTTATCACATGTTCATATTTATTATTTATTTAACAACAGCTTGGGGACTTTATACACGTAACTTCTTAGTTGTATGTGAAAGTGCAAGATGGCTATGCAATTTTAAACCACTTAATAGTAAAGTTTATAAGTTATATGGGGCAGGCATGGCTAGGTATGTTCTAATTTTCAAATTAAATATTTTAATCTATTCAATATCATTTTTATTGATCAATTAAACAATAAAAAATATAGTGGTACAAATGCTTTATCGTGCTTTGCATCAGCAAATTCACAGAAATATTTTATTCGTCAAGTTAAATCAATGGATAATGGAGGTGTTTCTGGGGATAATAAAGTAAAAGTACCAGAAAAATCCAATGATGCTTTATTAGCTCTTTATGGTCATATATTAGCATGTGCCAGGAGTTATATTGGAGCTATTGGTAAATTTATATTATAAAAAAGTCAGTATTGAACGCAAATAGATTTATAATTAATGATATTCGATACATATTATTTTTATCAGGTTATTATGCTCGTGCTTATGCAGAAAACCCAAAAGATCCTGCAATTAGTTTATCTATTGGACTTGCATACTTACATCGGGCGATGCAAAGACAGACTGATAATAGGCATATGCAGATTATGCAGGTAGTTATTAATGATGGTTTGAGTCAACAGCTGATATCATTAACTTAGAGAACATGTACTTTTAATAGGGTTTTACGTTCTTATATAATTATTATGAATTGAAAGCTCGTAATCAAGAAGCTGAATATAATCTTGGAAGAGCATTTCATCAATTAGGTATGAATTTTTTTTCTATAAATTGGCAAACCCTATTTTATTAAATCAAAGTTATGACATTAAATTGTTTCTTAATATAATAGGTTTAACACATTTGGCAGTTCCACATTATAAAAAAGCACTTGAACTACCATCTTTACAAGAAGTTCTTAGAGAACAAGAAAAGGTAATTTTTAATTTTCTTTTAAAAATTTTGAGGATTTTATTAAATTATGTTATTATTTGTTATTTACTTAAAAAATAATTAATAGGAGAATAATAGTATGGATGAGATTAATGATGAGGATGATCAAACAGACTTGAAAAAAGAAGCTGCATACAATTTATCACTTATCTGCATCGAAAGTGGGTCGGTTGGATTAGCTGCCAATTTTTTGAAAAAGTATTGTACTATATGATCTTAATATTTTTGAGAAATAAAATTTTTCTTTTATAAAAATATTTTAAATATCAAGATCTTTAAACTAAATTTATATAACTTTCAAGATATCTAATTATTATTTAAAATATAAAACATAAAATTGATAAATTTCAATGATACTCTTTTATATTACGGGATTGATGTTTTGATTGCATATTATTTCTATTAAACTAATGAAATTTAAAGTTAAATGACCTTATAATTTTTTGATGATATAAATTTTTTAAATAAAAATCAAGAGTTATCAAAAAACCAATAAAATTTTTATTTTTTAGATATTATAATATAAATCTACTTATCAATTAGTTGTTAAGGATCCGTTAGCAATAGAAAAATATATATTTGGGCGATAATTATGAATTTAAAGCGTAAAGCCAAAAGTGATTGGTTTTCGAAAATTTGGGAAATGACTTTTCAATATATTTCAGTTTATTGATTAGATATTTAAAAATTATAAAAAAAAAAAAAAAGATGATTTGGCTCGACAGGAATTCGTGAATTCGTGGATAAGAATTTTACATCATGTTAAGATAATTGATGTGATTTTATACTAATAAAATTTCAGTATTAAAGGAAGCAGTTCGTGATGAAATAGAATTTGTGGTAACTTTGAAAATAGTAAAGAAAAATTCAGATGATGGTAAATGGTATAAAAATAAATTT